ACCATTATACCTAGTAGTTACATTTTCAATTTTCTTATACTAAAATATTATGGTTAATTACATAAATAGAACATAATATTATGTTTTATTTAATAACTTATAGTTATCATCAATTAAATTCTTAATTAATTTTTAAAATATTATAATCGATACCTCGAGGTACATAAACAAAACTGATTTTAAAATAACGTGATAGATGATAAATTTTTACACAATATACCCTAATGTTTTGTTAAAATAATGTATTGTTTTAAAATTATTTTCATTATGTAACATACCTAACATATTACTTTATTTATTAAAAAAAAATTATAATAAGTGTGCATTATTTCTAACGTAATTAAGTTCGATGGAGGTTATTTAAGATTTAATCGAATCTCATTAATAAGTATACCTACTACAACAGTATAAAACTATGCTTTAGAGAAAAAAATAACAACAGTTATTATTTGTATATAATTTGTATGTAGCTCATTATAAATATTTACTAAATATCATGGTATTGAATTTGAATGCCTACTTTTATATTATATGCCATATTAATTTAATCACTCGTTTTTGAGTTAATTAAAATCAATATATTTTGTGTATTGAAATTGAACTATGATAATATTCTGAATTACGTTGAAAATAAATAATTTTATAAGATTAGATTCTTAAGATGTTTATAAACACATTATTAAATTGTGTTGCATTTCAGWAGACAATAACATTATTTGTTGCTCACTATTAGAATTGAGACATTTAGTTCCTACACAAATCAGACAAATTAAGAATTTAAGATGTATACATACATTTTATATACAGTTTAAGTTTTTATATGTTTACCTAAGTAAAATATATTAATCACTACACAATACGGGTTAATTGCGAATATTTAAAAACTACATAAGAACGTCAAATTATTTCTTACATCAAATATTGGAAGAAAAACAAAATTGTATAAAAGAGAAAAATATGTCTGATGATAAATCAAAAAAAATAAAATAAATTGGTATCAGCTACTTTATAAAATAGTACATTTATAGCCTTAAAAATAAACCTCAACAATTATTTGTAAATTGTTTTCAAATCATAAATTTTTCGTATATTTTTTACCTATTATCTACCTACTTATAGTTATATTTTGAGTATCAAAATTTTGAAAACATACAAGTATATTTATTATTTATAGATAAATATATTTTTAATTTAAAGATTTCTATATTACGAAATTTTGTAAATTAAAATCTATTACTTTTTACAAAAACAAACAGAAAATTTATGTCTTCTAGAATGGAAATTAATACAAAATAATAAATTAAGAGAAATTAAATCATCCAACCTCCCTTGGATGCACGATATGTCACTCCCACGCAGACATCAAATAATCATCGACAGACTACGAATTGGCTACACATTATACACTAATGAGCATTTAATGAACAGAAAAGAACAACGAATATGCACCTCATGTAACACCGCGATCACAGTAAAACATCTTTTAACTGAATGCCTCCTCACAAAAGATGCCAGACACAAACTGATGCTCCCCAAAAATCTGTGTGAAATACTTGCACCAAACGAAGAGAGGACATCATCACTTTTAGAATTTCTCAAAGAGATCAACCTTCTGCATAAAATATAATAGCATTAGGCATTAGCAAAATTTAGAATATCACACAAAATGTAAACATATTTCTCTTAAAATATATTGTATCAATTTTTCACCTATTTATTATTTATTATTTTGTAAAAATTAAGTAAACTATAATAAGTATTTTGAAACGCCAATAACTCCGGTAGTTGAGGCGTATTTGTTAGATAAAAAAAAAAAAAAACAGAAGATTTAACTACATCACAACTACACATAATATTATGTCGCTAGTCCTAAAACTATATGAATGATGTATTTTTACTACCTGTACAACATTTAAGCTTTTAACCACTGAATAGAATATAAAATACGTATCTAATTTTTCCACCTCAATGAGGAATACTAACATAACTTCAATTTCAACAAATTGTTGAACTCACATAATATTATTACAAATATTATTTTCAAAATAATCATTTTAGAAAGAAGTAACAAACATAATTACATATTCCTTGTTTTTAAGTGCTATATTAAACTATATAAGAACTTACATTTACCCTTAAAATTAAACACCTTATTTGAACTAATAATTATAAATCCTTACAAAATGTTATATAAAAACCTTTAATATATAGATATACAATATACTACAATATAAGATTGTATGATGAAGATAATTATCTATATGTGTTTGAATAATAGTAATAATTGTTTATATATACCTATTATGTGTGTGTTGTTATATACATTGTATATTTTCATAATTCAGTATTCTAATCCCCTCATCGTTAGCCGTTAAAGTTTCTGTGGCTTTTGTATAAAATAAMCTACGATAATTTAACTTTTGTCGTATAAGTAATAGGTAACATATGAGGAWAYCACACCAGTATGTATTCTACATTATACTACCTATACTATAATTTATACAATACACCTGCATCATACACCGCATAAAAAAAAACAATTTAATTCAGACCCCTATTATAAATTATGGTGTATTCATTAATATCATATTTAAACAAGTGTGTAAAAACAACCACGGAGTGTATGCAATAATATATGATAATAGATAATATAGTATTATAGTCGTGTAATATCCAACATAGAGACTGCCGCACCTCTTGCATCGAGTTCAAGTACTACATAATATATAATAATAATTAATATTACAGCCATTAGTAGGGTAAAACTATTTAATACAAGTGTGACATAATAATTAACAACTCATCCTACGGGGTACTTATAAATTAAGGTGATGAAATTACTTGTATTATTGTACTGCACGCGAAATATATTCGATATTATTGTTGTCAGGATGAATATCGGCCGTGACATCAGATACGTAAACTCATATTTATATTTTGGCCAATATTCTTACTTTATTATGCTAAATAAAAATATAGATTTACAAATCTGTCTAATAAAATAAATAAATATCTAACTTTCTATTAATAATAAAAAGTTTATTTTATTATTTTTTTATTATGTAAGAATGATATAGTATGAAGTGATTAAGGATTGTCGCTATAGGCCAAGAGCCATTGCATCCCCTAAATGTGATTCTGCATTAAAAATTGCATACAAGGTTTCCGTTTAAAATACATGGTTGTTGTTTTAATATTATAATATTAAATATATGCCTAAATAGATGTGGAGGGTTCGAAATTAGAATTCCCGTGCAACATMAATTATAGTTGTATGGGGTTGGCTTTAAGARCAGGTTATATCAACCGATGATCTTAGGTTCATACTGCATAGGCATAAAATTATGTTATTTATTTTAAAATTAGGAGGTATAGGTATATAAGTCAGTATAGGTATGAACATTGGCCTCTTTGCGAAATGAGATTGATTAGAATGTATTCAAATCACCAATAATCTTAACAAACGTGCAAATTTCGTAGGATGTATCCCACAGTGATGTATGGTGCAGAAGGTAACGGTTCATAAGTTATAATATTTAAAATTTGTCATTAAAAATTTGGAGCCACTGGGGCTAGCATATATATAATGGGTATGGGCCAGTGTTACCTAATACAACATTTGTATTTTAGGACAAGAGTGTATCAATCTCGCTTTTTATATTATATTATTGTTTGTATTATACCAATCATACTCCTTATATTAGTTATATTGAACGGTCAGTAAACCAATATTGCGCTTACTTTTTAATTTTACTCGCAGGCATATAGAAAAAATTTTTTTTTCTGATGTGAATCCATCAAATATTGAATTGTCATATAAATTATATATAGGTGTAAACTAYRTATATTAAAATAATTTAAAATTGAAAACTTATATTTTATTGATAATTACTGATTAATTGATTACTGAGTGGCTGGTTTTTTTTTTCAAAAAAWCAACGTTGTTAATGTGATTATATTTAAAATATATTATTAACAAATTTTCAGTATATGGACTTTTATGAAACTTCATTATAAACTAATAGGTATACCTGAACAAACAGAATTAAATTTTCATTATAGCCAGCTATAAATATATTTATCAGTATAATCGGTTCATTACATTGTGACGATACTGTTAGAGATAATATTGTATGATACAATACAATTTTTTTCTTATTTTATTTATAGTTTATATTTTTAATAAGTCTATAGTATTGTATGTTTTTTATTTTATYTCAGAAAAATTAAAACAGTAACCTAAATTTTAACGAATATAATAAATTGTATTTTTATATATTTTTAATTAAAATGACCAATTGTTATTATTTATTGCAATTATTCTATATTTCTATCACCCATAAAAGCGACTGAGGGCAATTATTGGTGTATATCACCAAACATGACCGATTGCAGCTAACCAATAGACCTTAAATGTCTTGAGAGTAAAATTTATCTATTAAAAGGTCTTTTAAAGCGCAATGGTAAACTCTCTAAAATATAGTCGTACTCGTATTTGTATTGAAAATTTACACCCAGATATATTGAATTGAGTCTAACAAATATTTTTAAATTGTTTGGATTGAGTCTCCCACTATTCGCTCACCAATCTAATAAGAATTCTTTCTTCACATTTGTACGATAGTGTTGATCGCMGTTTTCTAAAATAACTTGATTATGAGATAATTTACATTAAAAAAAAAAAAAAACGCTTTTCAAGAGTATATGAATTCCTCTRTTGGACTAAATGTCGTCGAACATTTTAAATAGAACTTTAATTTAAACAAAAATATCGTTTTTTTTTTTGTCACTCGACGTACACTCCGGGCAATCTCTGCGCCCATAAACGTGTGGTCCCAAAGTATATGGGTTTATGTTTGGTGGYGATATATATATAAATATACTGTGGTGGTTTTGTACATGAATATAAACGATCGTACATCACCTATGATATTGCTCACCGGTTACCCGACAAGTRCATAAACATAGGTAAATACCAAACAAAAACGGACGTCGCTTACCTTTGCATGTAATGCATAATCCATGCAGTCGCCGTACGCCGAACCGCTTTCGCTCTTGATGGCCGGCGACGTGGCGGACGTCGGGCTGCCGGACGACTGCGGTCCTGTGGCGCACACCTGCACTTCGGCCGTATCTCTCGGATACCACGGATACATTAAACAACCGACTCGTCTAGCGCACGGCAAACGCGGTTGGACACRGACGCGCGAAACGACGCGAACGCGCGACGGACGATACGCTGGGTCGACAAAGTTATTACGCGGGCGAGTCGAGAAAGATAACTCTTGTTAATAACGAAAATATTTTTTATTATTGTTGTTGCGGCGCCTTAACGACAACAATTAAAACAATAATGTTACATAGGTAGTGATGCAGTTATATTTTATTCGCGGCGTATCGGGCCGAGTTCGATAGTCGCGCGCCAAAATCACGTGGGGTTGAAACTGACGTCGGCGGCGGTGGCGGCGGCGGCGGACCGGCGAACGGCGATAACAACTTACTCACTACCGTGTGTTAAACGGGAACGCTGCGCGGTGAACACGGACCGCCGTTATGGTTAGACGGAGAGAGACAGACCGCGGTCGGAGTAGCAGTCACTGGTCGTGGTAGTTGGTCGTCGTATTCCGCAGCGGCGTCGGCGGCGGCGTCGTCAGCGGGTTGAGCGCCGGCCCGGCCCGCAGCAGATACACCCAACACTTGGTTGGCGGGGGGCGGGCGGGGGCGTCTTCGGTCCGTCGTGTCGTATCGTACCCACTCGGTCGCCGGCGCACGCACTCTGTCAGGATACGGACACGATACGCGCGTTATATATTATTAGAAGATGTATTATAGAGGTACCTACCTATACTTGCACGACGACGCAGCGATTATTATTACTATTATCGTGTGATTCGCGAGCCAAGGTTAAGGGCATCATTCTTATGTATTATATATATATTACAGTCGCCGGAGCCACGAACTTATGGAGTTGGGTATATAATATGTTGTATGGTACCTATATAGTTTATACATATAAAGGTACAACTATACACACAATGGTGGCGACAGCCATTTTTTGCACTTAGTTTATATATAAATGATATTGTCTTTTTGTTTGTTTATTTTGTTATTATATTATTACTATTTTTTTTTTTATTATTACACTTGATGCGTATTATAAACCTACCTCGCCGAGACCAGACTTGAAAGAATCTTTTAATTAATTTACGATCCCAACACCCGTCTAATCTGATGTTCCGCCTGCTCTCACGTTGCTGGTAGCAGTCGATGATAGTGTGATRCTAAGCTTCTTACTTTTTTTTCTCCCGTCTATGAGAATAAATGTTAACATTCTTTTTTATGTAAACGTTTATTATCATCATCACCTAAATTGTATATATTTTTACACCTATCAATATCATTTAATACTGAACTACGATGTACCAATACAGCTACACCAAAAAAACTATACCACTGATCGTTGATCGTCACGCAATGTATGGCATACATTAGAACTGCAGAGCAGCCTGTGTATGATTTGCGGCGTTGACGAAAAAAATTCGCTCTTCAACCAAGATATGATATTATATTACAATATACCCCTGACATCAATAGATTACAATGATTACATAGTAATATACTCGAAAAATCTCATATCATAAACATTAACCGTATATATTTTACCTAACCTATATTATGTATTTTACATACCTAGGTAGGTACGCTCATTTTTTATCTCACACTCGGACCACTCACGTATATTATAAATATTGCGTTATCGATTTCGTATTTATAGCAATATTAAAATATATAATATGGCGTTCAGGAAAATGAAAATACTTATAAGGAGGTTTGACCATATATCGTAGATCAAACTAAAAGTACATAAACATATCAACGAATCATAATAATAACTGATTAATACATTGGAACTGTATAGAAAAGTTTTTAGTTTATATAAGAACAAAATATATTTTATCAATTAGGTAGAATTATATAAAATCTATATATTTATTCAATTTTTTGTAGATAGAATTGATGCATAAAAATGTAAAGGGCAGTATGCCTATAATATCATTAATATTATACTGATACAGACATACATGGTTGGGAATTGTTGTAAATAAGAAACTATTGTTTCAGGATACAAGAAGTTCGGCTAGCTTCATTATGGTTATAAGTTCATTGAATGGTCATGGAGAAATCGTCATAATAACTTGATGCTTTGAAAATAATGTAATTACTATTCATCAGCTTTTATATTTTGAGATTTAATAAAATACTAATATTTTGACAATTTTTAATAAAATATAACAGTATAAGAATAAGATAAATTTATAATAATTATGGTGATAGTTTATTTATTTATTTTATTATAATATATACCTATAAGCTATAAACCATACCTATAAATTATAATTTATTAATAAGCGCTACCTAGTTATAAATTTGATATTTATACATTATTTAAAAACGTACACGATGGTCATTTATGTGGTACACGCTCAAATGAATAATTCCCTTCCTAAATCATCGCTTTAGATCCATTCGACCTGCAGATAATATATTATAGCATAATTTTTTTCTAGCAGTTAGGTCGCTAGGATATAGCGTAACTGAAGTTTATATGAGAACAGTCATTCTGTATATTTACACTATACCTAATACCTATGTAATTAAATGTTTTAAATGATATATATAGTGCAGGTGAATGATGGGTCATCTTCGATTATTAGTAATATTTAATTATTTTTAGTTGTTTTGTGTAGCAAAATAATATATTCTAGGTTAGGTTTATTATTGAAAACAATAAAATAAATGTTAGTCTAATTTCTAAAATACAATACTAATAATTATGAATAAAAAGCGGACTTACTGAAACTTGTGTTATAATAATATGATGAAATGTCGACCAAGAAGTAGATCTCAATAATTTTGTACGTAACAGTAAAAGTGAACTATTATTAAAACCATAGATTCGAGAATAGTATATTATATAATATTATAGTTAATAATTGATTTGTCGTCAAATTTAAAGATGATAGGTTTTAATCTATATCAGTCTGGTATTTGTATATTTTAATTTTAAACTGAGACGTGTATATAATATATATATATATATAGTCTAATAACGTGTAATATACACGTATCATTTATTATTTAAAACATAATATATTATACGTATGTGTATATCACGCTTTAAATTAAAATACATATTAAAAACCAGACGTCAAAACATAGATAATATTTAAATTTGATAATTATTAATCAATTTAGTCTAATGTTATAGACAGTTTTGATTATTCGGAACGTAAATTGTTATGTCTGAAACACCAAATTGGTATTATATCACTATATCAGTATGTGAACTTTATGACGAATAAGTAAAATATGATAATATATTAAAATAATTATGCTTGGATTGGTAATTGCAAAAATTAAAGTATTATGATTAATAAGAATAAAAACTATTAACTTTTGTTTTATAGGTACCTACTTTGTGTGTTCTGATGTTGTACATTTTATAAGTTGATACAATAGATAAGTACCTATACGCGCATGATCATATAATATATTATTCAAATTCAGTAAATTTTTACGTAAGTAATTGATCTAAGATTGAATTATAATTTATAAGTAATAAAGCCATTATAAAATCTCAACGAGAAAAAAATAGAAATGTGGTTGAAATGTTCAACTCGAAAATATTTAATATAGGTACATGTATASGTTTAATATTTTATCCATTCAATCAAATAATCAGAAACATTTCGAGAATTACAGGCGGGCGAAGTGGTAACTTTGTTACATGCACATATATCTTTGATAATAACTTTATCAATTATAAACATCTTTACATCAATGTAATATAATTATTATTGTTCCCGTGTTATGATTTAAATTTATTTCAGTTAGAAATGTATTTTTACTACATCGTATATTAACCCTTTTGAATATTTATTTAATTGACAATTAATTATAGGTTTATTAATGTACTTTTTTGAACCTAGGTTTTACTTATATTATTAAAGTTCAAAAAATTAATACATGTATATAATATTTTATTAATATATAATTACATTAATGTAAACTTGATGGTTATAGAATTGTAACGATGATACCAACGACGAAAATCCCGACAGTATCCTCCACGTTAAAATGATGTAAAATTAGCAATTCACTAACAAATCATTTTTCTAGTCATCGGTTAACAGCGTGTAAAGTAATATATCATATTTGTGTTTATAATTTTTCGTAATAAATATTTTATAATCTTGTTGGATAATTTTTTTTATTTATTATAAAGTAATAAGCCAATCATCCCTCGAAGCTGTGATCTTTATTGAAAATAAAATTAGTTAATTGTTCTCCATTGTGTTTATCTAATATATTTAATTTAAAAAATGATTATTTAAAAATTAATTTTTTCTATTGAAGATCGACCTGTATAAAATGGGGTGGTAGAATGATAAACCGGGCATCCAGTCTCAAAAATTCTGAATAAAATCTTTATTCAATAAAAACAACATATATTATTTTGAATAAAGGCTTCAACATCTTTGGTTATTAACCTACAGTTGTAAGTGTGTAACATAGCACTACAGCAGTCAGCAAAAGAACGGTTGAGAAAAAAAGAATGGAATATTTACAGTTGTTTACAATTTATTACTTCAATTTAGAAATTGAAAAATGTGTATGGTTTATACATTTTATGAAATATTTTAAATAATAATATTATCATTTGTATAGCACTATAATATTATTTAATAGTATTTTTTGTTAACATTAATATCAAACTGCAGATTATCATTAAATAGCTATAATATAATAATACAATTTGATATTTTTTTCATATCCTTCTACCAGTGCGTTTAAAAATGAAAAGTATAGAAGAAATGCTGTATATAGGTTATAACTTATAAGCACTAAGGAGACGTAATATTATTATAACATATAGCCCCGTAGGTAATTCACGAGAACATGAACGTTTTCCGAAACGTTAAGCTATATATTATGGAAGTAAGACATTATATTTTTCAACTAAAATAAATATTGGGTGTTTTGTGAACAATAAAACGAAGTATAATAATAATACCAATAATATAATAACCGTTTAATGTGTGGTACCTATTCATTCGTTTATATACCTGTTCATTATAAATACACTATATATATATAATTCCTATGCAAGGACTAAAGAATACGGGACCTAAAAAATATAATGTATACGATTATATTTCAACTGTAATTGTGTTTATAACAAGATTGAAGATACTTTAATATCATACAATTGTATTTTTAAATGAAGAACTTCATAGGTTAGGTACCTATTACCTATATCATTATTTTATTACGTAAACTGACGAGTTTCCATTCAATAACCTACCATTATTCATATATTATGAATCATAATTATAAAATGGAAAAGAATACCAATACCCAATATCTTCCAGTGGCATATATTTTGTCAGAACTTTATTTTTCTTCACATACTATTATTTACTAATAATACTTATTGTTAAACTTACTAGTTCATGAAACTATATTATAATAGTCTTTACGATTATA